ACTGCTTGCCAGCCAATCTTCCGCCAGAACATGGAAATATACACTCCCACTTCTCTTTTTTTTTTTTTTGGTATGTGTGTGTGAGAGAGACACAGAGAGAGAGAGAGAGAGAGAGAGAAAGAGAGAGAAAGAGAGAGAATAGGTAATTCTCCAACCTCGCGGCTGGCGTCACGCTACTTCCATGATAGGATGAGCAAAATCGAATGAATCTTTCGCTAGAACATAGAAATATACACTCTGTGGTTGAATCTGCCCGACACCTGCGGGACAACACTTTCTGCAATCGCCGGCGCGGCGCCAAACAAACCCGTCGTGCACGGAAAAAAAGTCGTACCAACGCGCGCCCGCCCGCCCCCCAAAAAAAACTTTAGGAAACGCGTCTATCCCAAAAAATTGAAAACGCGGAAAACGAAGTGAATTGGGAGCCCTCGAACCCGCGTCCTGCAAAGCGGGCCGTGAAAAAGTGTGCACTAAACGACAAAANAAAAATTGAAAACGCGGAAAACGAAGTGAATTGGGAGCCCTCGAACCCGCGTCCTGCAAAGCGGGCCGTGAAAAAGTGTGCACTAAACGACAAAAAAAAAAAAAAAAACGAAACGTTGCACAGCGCCTGTCCCAAAAATTGAAAACGCGGAAAACGAAGTGAATTCGAAGCCCTCGAACCCGCGCCCTGCAAAGTGGGCCGTGAAAAAGTGTGCAGTAAACGACAAAAAACAAAACAAAACGAAACGTTGCACAGCGCCTGTCCCGTCCAACCGAAGCGCAGGACTTCTTTTCCCTGGTCCCGTGAGAGCGTCTTCCAAGGACCGCTTTTGCCTTCCAAGTATTAGTAGAAGCTATATTCTTCTCTCAATTTCACCTTTCACTACCTACCTACCACTACTCCTAAGCCTATACAGGGGACCCCTGCAAAGCGTAACTACCTCTCACAACTAAGGGGATGCATGTTGCCCCCCGCCCTAATCGGTGGTGGTCAGGGAGTAGGGTGGGGCCACCGGTTGGGGGGGTGCAGCTAATGCAAAGACCGAGCATTTTGCCAGTAGCTGCGCCTCCCATCTACTTCCCCCACCCCCATTGAGTAACAGCAGTGTTTACGGACAGCACTCTCCCACACACCACACAAAAGCCACACACACACGCGCGCACACCCCTGGTGGCCAAAGACCCTACCAATACCGATCGGGGGGAGCAAGCCAACTATCTCAGATGGTTGGCACCAAAAGTGTTGAACCCACGACCTCTGAATGCCACTTGTGTGCCTCACCAATTGAGCTAGGCCGCTTGCTCAAAATGAAAAAAAAAAATTAGTGACCTATTTCAACTTACACGTCCTTCGTACATCTAATTTCAATTTCCAATTAAGCGCTTTCACAATGACTCCATGCAACAAAAATGCTAAGAATGAAAAAATCATGACCTATTTCAACATACATATCCCTCGTGCATTGAATTTCAAGTGCAAATTAATCGCTTTCACAATGACCCAACCGGTTTTTAATTGAATAAGTCAGAATAACTATAAAAAGATAGGATAAATTGTTGTGCTTCTATCAGAAGAAAAGTCGAAGTTCAGAACAAAAGGGGCCGCAAAGAGAAGAAACAATCAAAGAGGAAACAATGGAGGAAGTGCACATAGAGAGGCAAAAGAACGGTTTCAGTGTGCTCTTTATGTTTGTCTTTTGTGGATTCTAAATTCTAATAGTTCGTTTGTCAAAGTTTGCTCTTTTAGTTGATAGATACATGACAAATTGACAATATATATACATGCATGCATATATAAATCGATGTACATACATCCATACATAAGTGTTGTAAATTGACAACAGTTGATCTGTGCTGGTGTTAGGAACACCGGGGCCCCTTTTCGAACAGGTCAATTTTTGCTCTTTGCTGTAGTTGGGGTTAAGCCTGGCCGGTGAGTTTGTTTTTGCTTTTTTGAGGGTGGGCTGTGCTAGACTGATGATGTTTCCAGGCGGGGGGCGTGGCACTACCGGGAGCGTTGCGCCCGGCCCGACCTGGCGCGCCGGACTGGATTGTCGCGATTTCACACGGTGACGGCGCGCTGGGTAGTGGCGTGAGCTACCGGTGAGTGGTCGTGGGTTGGAGTGCACGGCGAGGGAGTAAGGGATGGTGGTTACGATATTGGAGTGCGGCGCCATCTCCTGTGCAGGCAAGATAGACGATGATTGATTGGATAGGTGGGCATGGAAGAGTTTTGTCGGGCGACTCCATATGGGTAGGAGGGCTATGGGGGTTTTCCCCTTTTCCTCAACAATATGTGAAGTACAAGATTAGCAAGGCTTGAATCTCCTGCGGCGACTCACCAACGGGTTTGGCGAGGAGGTGCCGGACTGTTTTCGATTCTCCTAGGGGGATTGAAGATGGCTGTTGTAGTTTTCAGTGCTAGTATTGCCGTAGAGCCTAGTGGCTGGCAATGGGAGGGAGGGCGTTCTCTCCTCCCCTGAAGACGGAGGGGTAGGGTTTGAGGGGGAAGAGGTAAGTTGCGGTGTTGAGGAAGTGGGGATGGAGGTTTTATGGATAGTTTTAGGGTTAGAGTCCTGCCCATGAGTGGATCGGTTAGCTCATACTCAAAAAAAAAAAAAAACTAATAATCTACTCGATTGCTCTAATTGATCTTTAGAGTTGTCTGATTTTAATGATTGATTGGAAAGACGAATCTTAATTTTGTTTCTTCTGTGATTTTCCAATTTCGTCTGTTCTATTCCGATTTCTAAACTCGTATGACGAAATTTTTGTTGTGTATCCAAAAGATAACAACCTAACTCTGAATTGCAGAATTTCGAATGAATTTTGATTGCTTTTGATCGCTTCTGAAATAATTCCTGGAAAATTTTTCAAGTGGAGATTCGTAAATCAGATTTTTGCTCTGATATCAAACTATTCTTTCGAAAATTCAACTTCTAAAGTGGATGATCTTGATCTGGATTCCGTTTTTTTTCTCTAATTCTTAGTTGGCTTTATTTGAAATTACTTGTTTTTTTCTCTAAGGGTTCCTCCTGATTCTCGACTTTGCTGCTATAATCAATAATCCTTAAAATCTATGATCACAATAGTATGTCACCGTTACCTTGCTATGGTTCTTGAGGAATTTTAGTTGGGTGGGTGGTCACCCTTGTCGTTAGTTACGGGCCAGATATTTTGAGGATGAGTGGCGTCGGTGGGGGGGGGGGCGGTTTCTGGTTGGTGATATGGTGTCCTGCTGGTGAGGAGGGCTAGCTAGTGGGATTGGATTAGGGCATAGCCTCAGCTGGGATGGTGGCTCAGCTGTTATTAGTCTTGCCGGAGAGAGGTTAGCGGTTAGTGGAGGGGTCGGTGCTGGGCTTTTTTGCGTGAGGGCGTTCTCCTGGATTCTACTTTCTCCTCTTCTTGTGAACTATGGGTGGAGGAGGTCGGCTCGTCGTGAGAGGAGGAAGAGTTGAGGAAAAGTGTGGGCGCATTTGCTTTTCTCATCCCCCGAACTATGTGGTGGAGGAGGTCGGCTCGTCGGGGGATGACGAAGAGTAGGGGGTTGGAGGGAAGAGGGAGGATGTTTCTTCTGATTGTCTCTGGCTCGTAAAACTGTCTGCTGCTCTTTTATCTTCCGGACTATGTGGTGGAGGAGGTCGGCTCGTCGGAAGATGATGAAGAGTAGGGGGCTCTAAGGAATAGTGGGCTGATAGTCTACTTAGAGATCTTCTTTATTTTCTCTAAAAAATGGGCTGACGTCTGCAGAGTTGTTTAGTCCTGGGTTAATAACTTTCATCTTGCGAACTATGTGGTGAAGGAGGTCGGCTCGTCGTGAGATGAAGAAGACCGCTGTATGCCGTCGACCGTTGCGGTACCCTGTGAGCTCATTCTTCTTCTGCTCTTTAGCTGGCGAACTATGTGGTGGAGGAGGTCGGCTCGTCGCCAGAAGAAGATGGCAGGAGAGAGAGTTTTAGTAAGGATACGTGGTGGCAGGGTAAGGAGTATAGGTGACGGAAAACAATTATATTCAAGTTTCTAAAACATTTCTCAATTGTGCTGAAATCAGATTTCGGTCTGAATGTCTCGATGATCTAAGGTTTTGCTGGTTGATTATGGTTGCTAAGAGTGGTCTTACGAATGTTTTAGGATTCTGGGAACTTCTAGCACCTCATCTTAGGAGGCTTCATTGCTGTTATACTCAGTGATCCGCGGCTGTCCGATGCCAGAACGATGCTGGTCGGTGCTGGGGTGTTGCCCTGTAACCCGCTGATGCAGGAGTACAAGGCCTGGTAGAGAGAATGCTTTGGGGTGGGCATTCTAAGGGACAACCAAGGGTCGCTGTTGGGTCGACGCTGGTCGGAGCGGGGGCAAGTCGTGTTGCCCTGTAACCCAGCAAGGTGGGGGTGTGAGGCCTGGAAGAGCTCGGCAGAGAGTAAGACAGTGCTGGAGAGCCTTAGAAGGGTTTGCTAGGGATTCCGGGGTTTTTGAGCATTTGTAGGACCTTGTCCGTAGAAGTAGATGGTTGGATATCAAGCGTCCTACTAGTGAGGGGGCTAGCTCGTAGGATGGAAATAGGGTACAGCAGCAGCGGAGATGGTGGCTCTGCTGCAGTAAGTCTTGCTGGAGTGAGGTAAAGAGGATTGTGGGGGGGTTCTGAGTCGTTTTCTGAACTTTGCTTATTTCTGAAGCTTGTCGAAGTAACTTTCTAAGTAGCCCCAATTTTTCTCAGCCAAAGCCGGGCAATGGCCCTGGTATCTCAAATTTTCAAACTCCTATGTAAATCTCCATATGGGACGCTGGGCCCGGTTCCCAGCACGTGCTGCTCCCCACGAATAGATTGGAGCCTTGTTCCCAAAAAAAAAAAAAAAAAAAAAAAAAAAAAAGCCTGGCCGGTGAGAAACTGGCTCATCCCTCTGGGCCACGGCTATTGATGTGAGGGACGCCTGGTTCCCAGCTTGCAATGAAAAACCTCAATCTTTGTAAAAAAAAACAAAAGAAAAAAAAATAAATCATAAATGCGTGTAATTGCTTACCCAGTTTGAAGATGTTGTTTCCATATTTTATTGTTAGAAACCGGAAGTAGTCGCGCCATATCAACTCGAACAAAACCCTGTACACACAATTTGACAGCCTTTTCATTCTGGCACCATGCTCCGCAATGAATCACATATTGACAGTCCTACGTTTCTGAACTTCCGTCAACACTTCTTCAGATGCAATACGGAGGACTTGTAGGCCATTCATTCTGGCAAATTCGAAGTATGCATTCATCAGAAAGTACAATGCCATCCAATTGCAAAAAGAAATGAATGAACTTGAGAGGAGAGAGAGGGAAAGAAGAAGAAGAAGAAGAAGAAGAAGAAGAAGAAGAAGAAGAAGAAGAAAGGAAGAAGAAGAAGATGATGTACACCAGCATACACCAATGATAATGCTCTTCTTCTTCGCCAACCACTCTCCTCCTCCTTATCTCCTCCCCGCTTATTTGAATCAAGAAATAATAATAATAATAATAATAATATTGAATGGCTGAACCAGAATCAATGTCCAAATCCCTCTTCTACTGCAGGTATCACATGAGGTCCACCATAGCCATGGCACCCTTCTCCTTCCTCTTCTCGAAGGCCTAGGCTATGGCGGACTGCTAGGGCCTTGCCCTGATGTGCAGAAGACAACTCAAGCAGCTGTAAGAAAAGAGGGGCAACGCAGTTTGATTCCTGACACATGGTGGTTCGGGGTATTTTTACAAAGCTGAGGGCCTGCTACGACGAAGGCCGAAGCAGCAGTCGAAGGCGCCACAAGGCCGTGAGCCCTGCAGGATGCTGGAAGATACGCCTGGAAGCGGTGAATATGAATCGTGACCAGGATGATTGTCCGAATCGATATCTGACCTCGGTCCAAGCGATTCGGCCAGCCCATGGTATTGTCTTTTATGAATTTTTGATTTTTTCAAGTGATATTTCTACTTTGTTTTTTTGGCTCCAAGCGACAGGGCGCATGGTCTTGGACCGCAGCAACTCAACGTGTTTGAAACGGAATAAACCGCCGTACTCTGGACTTAGCAGGACCTGCCCAGGCGGGAAAATGCAGAAGTATGATCTAGAAGGTGAAAGGTTAGTATTTATTGATATGGAGCGGACGCTCTTGAGACAGGCTGAGTAGTAGAGGAGAAGGTCTGTAGCGTGAAGACTCTTCACACTCTTTTACGATGTGGTTACGCTACGAGATGTAAACCTCTAACTGCATTGTTATTATGTTCTATCTCTATCTCTCCTCTGCGGCATTCACAGTTCCACACAGGCCCCTGCAGCGCCCGACTGCCAGGACTAAGGGTTAGGGGTTAGCAGGTAGGCCCGGATACCAGGGACCAGCATCGTTTCGGCCTGCATTAGGGCCCGCAGGGTTAGTAGGCCAGGTTAGGTCTGTTCAGGCCCTGGGACATTTTCATTTTAGCGCCAGGCCACTGAGTTCGTTTTAGGTGCCGTTTCTCAGTGTAGGCGTCAACCACTTTTCCGTTAGGTCTGTGCCGTAGAGTTTACGCAGGCCAGCCTCAGTTTTGGTGCCAGGCCTGATTCAGACACTGGCGCAGTTTCGGATTGGTTGAGGCAGCCTCTCAGTCTGACCAGCAATATTTATAGCTGGTCCGCCTAGGTAGAGGCAGGTAGTATTGAGGTAGTCTTTGGTAGTCGACAAGCTGGGTGCTGTAGGGATTCTAGTAGAGCGCTGGGCGCTGCGACACCCGTGGGAGTAGAGGTTGGCGGAGGCCAGGGGACTTACCTGTCGACTTACTTGCGAAACCATAGCTCCAGCTTCGTCTTCAGCATGTCCGCACACATCAAGGCGACACCTTTCTGCAGGTTAGTACCTGGCATACATACATACAGAGAGAGAGAGAGAGAGAGAGAGAGAGAGAGAGAGAGAGAGAGAGAGAGAGAGAGAGAGAGAGAGAGAGAGAGAGAGAGAGAGAGAG